TCGGCCCCCGAAGTGAGAAGATCGTCTTTGCCAGGAGCGAGGGCACCGAGGAGAGCGTGCTGGCCGTCACCATCACCGAGACCACGGTCATCGAGGCGGACCTGGGCGTGTGGAGCTCGCGGGCGCTGCTCTACCTCACGCTCTGGTTCTTCCTCAGCTTCTGCACCCTCTTCCTCAACAAGTACATCCTCTCCCTGCTGGAGGGCGAGCCCAGCATGCTGGGTGAGGGTGGGGCCTCGGGCAGGGGGGCGGGGCACAGAACAAATTCTCCTGACCCCACAAGTCCCACCAGCTACCCTCCTTTCTTACAAGAATTGTTTGTCTTTGCTGTTCTTTACCCAGAGCTTACCACCCAGATGTTGCAATGTTGACTGACCCTCAGAGCTGGGGGCTGAGGCGGGAAGCTTGGGTAGTAGGGAGCCCAGCATATTGACGCTCGGATGTGGTGCATGTATTATTTCCCCTGTGGCCATGACAAGGTTGGGAAGCACTGCCCTAACCCACGGCAGTCTGTCCCCATCACTCCGCGATAGCCGTTGTCCCCAAGGGTGTGCTGGCTTCCCAGTTCCAAGGCCGCTGGGTCCTTCTTGCCATTCGTCTTCATTGGACTCCTTTGCAGCACCGTTGGCAGGTGCCATTCTTAGGTGTTGCGATCTCCCAGCACACTGTCCTTGGTTACTCTCTCTTCTGTGTGTTCTTCAGCAGCCCCATCCTCTAATGTCACATAGAAGGTTGAATATGTATGAGGGGCAGCCACATGGAGAGACAGGAGGGCGGGGCACAGAACTGGGTGGGGGCACAGGTAGGTGGGCAGGGCACGGAGCTGGATGGGGGCACAGAGGTGGGCGCGACCATGGCTACAGCTCATCGCTGGCAACCCGGTCCCGCAGGCGCAGTGCAGATGCTGTCCACCACGTGCATCGGCTGCCTGAAGATTTTCGTCCCCTGCTGCCTGTACCAGCACAAAGTCCGGCTCGCCTACCCGCCCAACTTCATCATGACCATGCTCTTCGTGGGCCTCATGAGGTGAGGGCCTGGCATTTGGGTGCGGGACTGGGTTCTTTTTCACGTTATTTAAAACTAGAGGCCCGGTGCACAAAAATTTGTGCACTGGTGGGGGAGGGGGCTGGGAGGGGGTGTCCCTCAGCCCCACTTGTGCCCTCTCACAGTCTGGGACCCCTCGGGAGATAACCACGCCTGCCGCCCCGGGTCGCAGATAGCAGGCCCGGATGGCAGCAGGGCAGGCGGGATGGCGCTGTCCCGCCCTGCCTGCAGTATGCAAATTAGCCGCCATCTTCATTGGCAGTTAATTTGCATATCGTGCTAATTAGCCAATGGGAGGCGTAGCGAAGTTACGGTCAATTACCATGTTTGTCTATTAGATAGGATGCCTTTCCCTCCTTGGCCGGTTTTGCTCAGTGGATAGAGCGTCGGCCTGTGGACCAAAGGGTCCCAGGTTCAATTCCAGTCAGGGGCACGTACCTCTGTTGCAGGCTCCTCTCCCGCCCAGGCCCTGGTCGAGGCACGTGCAGGAGGCAACAGATTGATATGTTTCTCACACATCAGTGTTTCTCTCTGTTTTCCCCTCTCTCATCCAATCTCTGAAAAAATCAATGGAAAAACATCCTCAGGTGAGGGTTAAAAATAAATAAAGAAAGAAAGAAAGAAAGAAAGAAAGATATTTTTTAAAAATCTATAATAATAAAAGCATAATATGCTAATTAGACCAGGCAGCCGAATGACCTTCCAGATGTCATTTCGGACGTCCTTCCAGATGAAGCCACCATGGCAGGGGCCAAGGAAGAGGTGGTTAGGGGCGATCAAGCAGGCAGGCGAGCAGTTAGGGGCAATCAGGCTGGCAGGCAGAGGGGTTAGGGGTGATCAGGCTGGCAGGCGGGTGAACAGTTAAGAGCCAGGGGTCCTGGATTGTGAGAGGGTGCAGGCTGGGCTGAGGGACACCCCCCCCCCACATGAATTTTGTGCACTGGGCCTCTAGTCTACACTAATAAAAGAGAAACATGGTAATTGGCGTACGACCGCTACCCTTTTCATTGGCTAATCAGTGAGTATATGCAAATTAACTGTCAGCCAAGATGGCGGCCGGCAGCCAGGCACTGAAGCGAGCACGAGGCTTGCTTGCTGCAGACTCCAACGTTCCCCGCCTCACTTGCCAGCCTCTCAGTTGCAACTCTAAGCAACTATATACTATGTTGCAAATAAGAAGCTAAACAAAACCCCAGAAAAGGGCTTCCATTCAGCCGGGCTCGGACCGCAACATTGTATCTATGTTTTCAGCAGCAAGGCCCCAGAGCTAAAGCTGGCCCAAAAAAAAAAAAAAAAAAAGA